CCGTATTAGCTGACTGTTTACCATATGGGTAAAGACATCAAGCAGCCAGGTATGTAAATGGCCTGACCAATATTTTATTCCATTCAATTGAACAAGCATTTCTGGTCTCTGGCGTGTGCCAGGTGCTGTTAAAGCATGACAAAAACAAAACAATCCCTGCCCTCAAGGAGCTTACATACTATCAAGGAAGGAAAACATGTATACAACAAAGTAAATGGTAAATATCTACATAGTATATTTTTAGGGAGGACATCAACATATTGGGAAACAAGGAAAGGTTGTAGGAGGTGGCCCTTATGATGATGCGAAAGCTGAGTGGTCTGTTTTAAATTAGTATTTTGTTAACTCTACGGAGGGGGGGGAATACAATAGCAGGAATTTTCACACTTCCATAACCCTCAAATGGCTATTATCAACCACAAATATTTATTAAGCACTGTGTACCAGGCATTAGACTAAGCCTTGAAGATACAAAGACAGAAGTAAAAGGCTCTGCCCTCAAAGCACTTTCATTCCATCCAAGGAGACATCATGTTACCTATCGGTAACTCAAATGGGACCATGAAGAGTCAGACATGACTGAAAAAATGACTGAACAACAAATAGCCAAAATAAATACAAGGTAATTTGGAGAGGGACACAACTGAGGCATTAGCATCTCCGAGGATCCTCAGGCTTCGTGCAGGAGTTGGTACTTGAGCTGAATTGAAGGAAACTAAAGATTCTTCATGTTTTGCAAAGGAATTTGCATCCATTAATCTGTGAAGACAGTACTACAGGTGGTGTTATCCCCATTTTACAGATGAGGAAACTGATCATCTGTGGCTAAGGTCAAGAAGTAGATAAGGCTAGTCCAGTTGATTCTGTCCACCACACCTAGATGCCTTCTACTGGAGGCAGATAGCCTGCTTAAGGGTGATTGGATTTCATTGGGGTGGAGTAGACAAGAGAAGAAAGGCCCAGGGGTGAAAATGGGCAGAAAGTACTTTCTCGGAACTTAATCCGGCTTTGTTTATCTACTTGAGTTGTGCCTGTAGGACTTTTTGAGCCCAAAGAGTGGCAGTGCTGGGCTTGGCATCTGAAAGACAGTTATTTTATGTGATGCCTGACAACATGTGACTCCGATAGTTCTAGCCTTTAATAGGGTGTTAAACTCAGCAGTGGCTGTGGTAGGATCGGCTGGCAGCCAGTTGACACCAGGCTCAACAATTTAACAAAATCAAGACCCGTTAAGATCGTTGACCAAGCCATTTTATGGCAACCACCGTAAAAGACCCATATTAAAGTAATAATGAGTTACTCTGTTTTTAAATCGTGAGGCACAGACCACTTAAGCAAGCTATTTTACAAGACCCAGATATTAGGAAAAGTTAATAGTCAACCCTATCTTCACTAGCAGAGATTTACCCAAGGAAGGAAAGACCTCTCACTTGCCAGAAATCTTTAAAAACAATGGCTCCTCTAGCAGAAGTGTAAATGCAGCAACCCCTCCCCTTCAAAGAATTCCAAATATTTCCTCATTCCTACTCCTTAAAAGATGACTTTGGCACTCTAAAGGAGAATTGGTTTAGCTCAGCCAGACTAGATCCAACACCTTGGGAAAAATCATCTGCTCTCAGTTTAGCACTATGGCAAAACTCTTTTCACCAGCATCTTTACAAGTTAAGTGCTAGTTTTCCAAATCACTTATCTGCCGGTTGCAGACTTAGGGTACTTCCTAGGCTAGGAATATTGCCTATTTCCACAAGTTAGATTCTGGTGACTCCTTCCCTGAAAATATCCTTAGCCTTAAATCTTTGGCCTGAACAAAATAACCCTGAAAACAAAACTGGAAGCGGCCTCATTTATTCATTCATTCAACAAGTACTTGTTAAGAGGCTATTACTTCCAGGTACTATGTTTGTTCTCCTGACAGGGAATACGAAGACAAAACATAAGACAATCCATCTTCTCAAAGAGCTTACGTTCCATTCGGGAATGCTACATTAATAGTAATAACTGATATCTATAGGGTGATTGGTTTTCTGGGTTTTTTTTTAACTTTGCAAAGTACTTTACAAACAAGAGTTCATGCAAGCCTTGCAGCAACCCAGTAAAGTGAGGGCTGGAGATGTTATCCTTTCTTCACAAGTTAGAAAACTAGCTCAAAGAGGATGACTGCAGAGATTGATAAATCAGCTGGCTTCTATTTAAGGCCTGCCAAGAGCTCGAGGGATCTCAGGTCATCTCATCCAGTTCCCACATTTTACAGATGAAGAAGCTGAATCCTAGAGAAATTAAGCGATCAGCCCAAGTTAAATGGCAGAGCTGGATTAGACCTCAGGTTCTATGATTCCAAACTCAAGCGCAAAGCTCAGTGCTCCCATCCATGGTCATAGAATTGGCAGCGCCAAAGACAAGACTGGGACCCACATCTTCCCGATATCTGGTCAAATACTCTAGCCAAGGAGGCAGCTAGGTGGCGCAGTGGATAGAGCACCGGCCCTGGAGTCAGGAGGATCCGAGTTCAAATTCAGCGCTCAGACATACAACACTCACTAGCTGTGTGACTCTGGGCAAGTAACTTAACCCCAATTGCCTCACAAAAAAACCAACCAAACAAAAAGCACTCTATCCAAGTCTCTACAGGACTTCCTGTTAAATTGTGCCTGACCCTTCATGACCCCGTTTGGGCGAATTTTGGCAAAGTTATTGGAGAGCTGCTCGTTTTCCAAATGAGGAAACTGAGGCAAACAGGGTTAAGTGATTTGCCCAGGGTCACCCAGCTAGTAAGTGTCTGAGGCCGAATTTGAACTCGAATCTTTCTGACTCCAGGCCTGCAGTTACTACGTAATACCGAGTAGTTTCCAAGATAGAAACCGCTAACAGGTGGGAGGGGTCAAAGGAAAGCCCTTCCCATAGTAAGGGGCCCCAGAGCTGGGTTTCGAAGGCCAAAGGGGTTCTCAGAAACAGAGGTGAGAAGAGAGTGCATTTGAGACTAGGGGCTAGGCTGTGCAAAGGTTTGGAGGCAGGAGATGAAATGTTGTGTACCAGGACCAAGCCAGCATCCTTCTTTCCTGCCAGAAGTCATGTATTCCCCACGGGAGGCAGAGAAGGAAGGCACGTACAGCAACAGGTTCAGCACTTGAACTTTGAAAGGGGATGGGGGGCGGGGGAGGATTGGAGGGAAGCAAAGCAGGGAGAGGAAGCTGCCGGGAGGACGGTGGGTGGGAGGGGAAATGATGGTGAACACGAAGCGCACGTCATCCGGGTTCCCAAACGGGAGATTTCCAACATGGGATCACTCGGGGACTTCAGGAGACTTGCGTTTGGGGAGATTTCTGGCACCAACCCAGGGACAGTAGAAGGAGCATGTCGAGAGCCAGATGCTTTCAGGGCAAACTGAAGTCCTCGGTTGGGACCACAGCCAGTGATCAAACGAGTCTCTGACTAAGGCCCGGGGATTACCTTCTTTAACCATGGGCCACGAACCTCGAGGTTCGCTCCAGGCTCGAGCTATGGCCCCACTCTCTCCTACAGTGCGTGTGTGTACGCCTGTGTGCCTCTGTTCGCCTGCAGATGTGTGGTATCCCTGGAGTGGCTGCTACTTGGAGACCCAGGCAGGGAACCCTGGCCACCGAGGGCGAAGTCCAGTGATGCTGAGGGGCTCCTCCCCAGGGTGCCACCTCCCCCGGGCCCTATCCCCGCCCCCTTTCTCTCTGTCTCTCTCCCGCCCAGGGTTCAGACTCAAGGCCCCGTCCCAGCCCGGCCCCGGAATCTCTCTTGTCTAGCTCCCCACCCCTATCCCAGCTGCAGCGAAAACCGGGAGGAGCGGACTGCGTGCCCGAAACGCCCAGGCCCCGGTCTGGGCATGCTCTGTAGGCGGGACGGTTTTTTGGTCCCCAGTAAGAAGCTTTCTCTCCGTGGCGGTGCCGGTACCTCGGCTGCTCCGCTGGGCATGAGCCGGCTCAGGGCTGGGGCACCCCAGGCTGGCGGGGCTGGAAGGAGGAGGAGGAGGAGGAGGAGGGAGAGCCGGGAGCCCAGGCTGGCCACGAGGCGGAGCCGAGCCCGGTGAGAGGCGAATCAGCCTCGGCCCCAGCCCGAGCTGGCAGGCGCGGAAGGAAACCCAAGCAGGCGATGCCTCCTGCGCCCCGGCCAGCTAGAGAGCTGGGGGGGGGGGGGCGGCAGACACACAGGCTGGAGACGGGGCGGGGGCAGGAAAGAGGAAGACAGGACCAATAGCCCCACCCCACTTGCCAGAAAGTCACGGTCATAGTTGTATGCCCAGACGGACCACCGCCACCACCACCCCCCCACCCCCCGCGCTCCCGGTTTGGCGTGGGGGACCGCGGTGGGGGGAGGGGGAGCTGAGAAAAGAAGGGGCAAAGACAAGCTGCAGAATGCAAAACTAGTGGCTGCCCCGCGGCTCGTGCCCCCTCACCCTCCAAGACGATATAAAAGTGTCGTATCCAAAAAGGTTGTGTCTGTGTGTGTGTGTGTGTGTGTGTGTGTGTGTTTCTTAGAGCAGGGGGTCGCAGAGAAGCTCCAATAGGGAAACTGTAAAGAGCAGCTCCCCTCTCCCTCTCCCCCCCTCCCCCTTCATTAAAAGTCTCCGAGCGTCCATTGCTGTGCATCCACCTCCTCAGTCTCTTTCTGGTCCTCAGGAAGGACTAGCAGGGGGCGGGGTGGGGGTGGGGGTGGGGGGACTGCTGGGTGGGGTGAGAAAGGAAACCCCGACGCCTCTGCTATCCGCCCAAGTGCCCCCTTTGCAAGTGGAGTCCCGGGCGGCGGGAGAGTGCACTCAGGTTTGCTCTGGTCTCCTCCTGGCCCCGGGGTGGGAGGACGAGGGGAGGAGGAGACTTGGTTTCCCCGGGCCGGCAGCGGCAGCGGCGGCAGCCGCCTTGCAGCCGGTCCGCCGGCAGGAGGGAGTCTCGCTCCCCGTGGACGCCCGGCTTGGCGGCTCTTTCTGACCAGTCTCTCTTTCTCTCTCTCACTGGGTCTCCCTCTCTGCTCCCGCCCAGGATTACCGAGAGGATGGGATGGATTTAGCCAGTGACGCGTGCAGCAGTAGCCGCTCCAGCTCCCGCTCCAACTCCAGCAAAGTGACCCCGTGCTCCGAGTGCAAATCCTCCTCCTCGCCCTCCTCTTCCTCCTCCCCCGGTAGCCTGGACTTGGTGGCTGCCCTGGAGGACTACGAGGAGGAGGAGGAGGAGAGTTTCCAAGTCTATCAGAAGAAGGTGATTGATGAGTGGGAAGAAGAAGAGGACGAGGAGGAAGAGGAGGAGGAAGAAGAGGAGGACGGCGACGACCGAGGCTACAGGCACTACGGGCACACCGCCGGGAGCCACCGCTATGAAAAGCCGGCCAACGGGAGGAGTTACGCGAAGGAGCTGGGCGATGTGAAGCCCCCCACCTCCATCAGGAGCACCGTCAGCAACCCCCCCACCGGCGGCGGCGGCACCGGCACCGGCACCGGCACCGGCGCCCGGAGCACCGTCATGCCGCCCCCAGTCCCCAATGGCAACCTCCATCCCCCTCCGGACCTCAGGCACAACGGCAACGTGGTGGTAGCCGATCGGCCGCTGACAGGGCACCGAGGAGGCCACCCCAACCCTCTGCAGAAAGGCCGGCCTGCGGGGGGGCGGCTGGGCGGCCCGGGTCCGGGCCCGGGGCCCGCGGGGCTCCTCCCGCTTCACCCCATGGAGAGTGGGACTTGTCTCAAGGAGGAGCCCCAGCTCCCCACTATGGACTGGGAGGCTTTGGAAAGGCATCTCGCCGGCTTACAGTTTCAGGAGCAGGAGGGACGCAGCCAGAGTCAGGGGAAACCAAACTCCACCTCGGTAAGTTGCTTGGTTGTCCTTAACATGCTGTGTGCAGAGAGAGCGCGAGGATTTTGGCCCATTCATTCTCTTGCCCTCCCCCATTCTCTCCCATCCTTTGCTCACACTCTCTGTAGACTAAGCTGTCTGGCTTTTCGGGATGGGGGGCGGGGTGGGGAGAAACGGAGAGGGAGGGAGGGAGGGAGGGAGCCACGCAAAGTCTTGGATTCAGGGAAGCAGCGACTCATCCCCCTGGTATGGACTTTTGCAGACGAGAGGGGTGCCACCGGGTGGGGTGAGTCACCGGGGCGAGGCTTGGCACCCAGAGCCGGCGGCTTAAGGGAAGACTTCAGGCGGCGGGAGTTGCCGCCGCCGGAGTCCCTGAGATGCAGCTGTTGGTGGGTTTTTGCTCCCCCTGCTGAGGGGGACCCGTGCCCCGAAGCTAGCAGGAAGGCACCTCGCCCTTCTCCTGTGCTGGGTAGTTGGACTGTTCCCTTGCATCCGCAGGGACTTGGGGCTTTCCTGAAATCGTCGCTATTGTTTGACTGGCAGACGGGGCGAAATTGACTTGGCTTGTGGGAGAGGGAAGCGTTTGCCATTGTGGGAGCCCGCCCCCTTTCAGGGCGCCGACCTCCCCGTTTTGAAAAAGGGGCCACCTGCAGTCCTTCTCAGAGGCAACTGCCTTGAATTCAGGAAACCCAGACACGGGGGACGAGTATGGGGAGGGAGGAGGGAGAGAATGAGAGGTCTGCTATGTGAGCATCTGTAATAGGAATCCTGGACAGGTTAGCACATGTCCCAAATCCTTTTTGCCCATGACAGAAGGACAGATATCTTCTTCTTCTTCTTCCTTTTTAAGGAGACTGGGGCTCCCCATTTATCACTGTTTTGAGATATAGCACCAGTTGCAATTTAAAATCATTAATGATGCCCTCCAATGCAACTGAGGGGCAGAGTTGAAATGAGCTTCTCTGTGAGACGGCTGTAAGCAAGCAGCAGAAAATGCTTGCCTTGCAGGTATAATTTTCAGACTCCAGGGCCCTGGGGCTAGTGGAAATTGGGTGCAAGCACTTCTGACACCAGGGGTGAGGAACGTAACTGCATTTCCTAGAAAAAATGGAACCTGGGGGGGGGGAACATTTCAACAAGGCTGCTGCTTGCACAAGCTACTGTCTGGACTCCCCAGAGAAAGCGCATATTAAATTAACATAACATCAAAATGTTTTAATTATGGTTGTTGAGTTTACCACTGCCATTCTCTTTGTGACTCGAAGACATGAAATCTTTCAATCAAAGCCAAATACTCCCACTTGTACTAGGGAAATGGCACAGCACGCTCTCTCTCTCTCTCATTCTTGTCCTTCACAGATAAAATATTTCCTTCCAGCCTTTCCTGACATGAAGGGACAGCTTTTTATTTACTGTTGTATCCCTGGTGATGACATTTGTGCAATCCGGGGGCACTTGAAATTTTGATATTTAGAAATCCAGGCATCTATCAGCACAAGGCCTATGCTTTGATGCTTGTTGACAGTGGGTTTATTGCATGTGGAATAAGGCTGTTCACAAGCTGAACTTATGACTAAGGCTGGAGTCCCGTAGAGAAGTTGTTGTTGTCATTGAATGGTGTATAGGAAGCAGCTGGGGAAAATGAGAGGAGGGGATTATTGCTTTAGAGCTGGAAAGGGTTGAGGAGGTCATGTAGTCCCAGGATTGCAGAGCCATCTAGTTTATCCCCTTCATTCTGCAGGTGAGGAAACGGCCCAATGACTGGCCCAGAGTTATCCAGGGAGGCAGAATTGGAACCTAGATCTTCTGACTCGGGAACGAGGGCGCTTGTCACTGTGTCATACTGCCTCTTCCATTCCTTCCTCTACATTTCATCTTTCAGGCTTTATCTCTGGAATCTCAGTGGATCAGGGGAGCAATCCTCAGACTGTAGGGCCATTTTTGAAATGGTATCAATTTTGCCAAAGTGTTTTCATCAGAGAGGCAGCATGGGATATGGAAGAGAGTATTGGTCTGGGAGATGGGGCCTCAAACCCAGCCACTACTGCTTAACTAGCAGTAGTATTATTATTGGCCCACTACTCAACTTTTTTAAGCCTTGGGCAAATTTTCTAAGACCAGAGAGACGACTGAATCTCTCTCTTTTTCTCTCTCCTCCACCTCTGTCTCTATCTCCTTCCTCCCCCTTCTCTGTCTCTCTTTGTCTCTCCATTTGTCTCTGTCTCTTTTTCTTACACACACACACACACACACACACACACACACACACACACACACACACACACCGTGTTTATCGCAGGCCCTTGACATATCTAGGGACTAGACCTGTGATTTCAAAGGTCAAGAGAACTCCCAGGGTGAGGAAGTTCCCTCCACCGGTATGATTTGGCATTTTCCTGCAACTTCTAATCTTAGAGTTTCCTAGAAGACTGAGCAGTTAAGTGACTCGCCCAGGGTCACACAGCCTGAATGTTTAAGAGGCTGCACTTGAATCCAGTCTTATTGGCTCTCAAGCCAGCTCTGAAAGTTCTGGGCCATGTTATCTTTCTCCATAATTGACCAGGTAGTAACTAATTAAAGCTTGAGGTATTGGATAAATAATTTGTTACATTTGAGCATGCCAATGTATAGAGCTCATCATTTTTAAGCACCTAAAATACAATTGGTGGGATGCTTTATGATTGTAGCAAGGAGTTCAACTCAGCATGAACACCTTCTCAGACATTTGTTCTCACTCTTGGTAGGATACCGATAAAAATTTCTGAAAGTTCAATGTATGTTCTATTGAACCCCAGTTACAAAGTGCAATGCTGCTAGAATCCTGGAATTCTCCCGTGATCTCCCAGAATTGGGATCACTTCGAATATCATCCTGGTGCCTTACTATGTACTGTCCTAAGAATTGTCTTCATGGGCTTATCTACCATTTCCTCCCCTTCCTGCCCCCAATACCACCACATTCTATGGCTTTCTGCTCCTGGATCCAGACATCCTCTTCTTCTTCCACTTAAAGTATTCAGAAAACTGGAGTGGTAGTCTGAGATACTAGAGAGAAGGAATGGCAAAGAGAAAATCTGAACCCAAGGTGCCTGAGATAGATAGCCTAATCATATAATACTATGCGTATTTGCTTAGGTAGTGCTGTAGATAGAGCACTGGGCTTGGAGTCAGGAAGTCCTGAGTTCAAACTTGGCCTCAGACATTTACTAACTGTGTGAACTGGGGCAAGTCACTTAACCTCTGTCTGCCTCAATTTCTTCAACTATAAAATGGGGATAATAATACCTCACAGGGTTGTTGTGAGGATCAAATGGGACAATATTTGTAAAGCACTTAGTACAGTACCTTGTACATAGCAGGCTCTTAATTGCTTGTTCTCTTCCCACTTCCTACAATGCTTTTGTCTGTACATTATTTACATGTAACACAAGGATATGGTCCTTGGAGAAATGCATAGTGTGATGAAAAGAGCATTAGGTTGGGTGTCAGAGGACACAGGTTCAAATCTTGGCTCATACTGCCCGTGTGACCTTGGGGAAGTGACCTCACCTCTCTAGGACCCAGTTTCTTCTGTAAAATGAGACTGAACTAAACAATCTCTTTCTGCCATTTGGTGCCACTGTCCATTTCCATGACTCTAATGCAGAAGTCTCCTTTGAGAGAGTATACTGTCTAAAAAAAAAAAGTAGGGTAGGGTTGGGGTTGAGCTTGGGTGTGTGTGTTTTTGTTTCCATTTAAATAAAGGAATCTGGCTATGCTGCCTGGTATCTGTTTATTACCTTCTACTGTTAGTCAGTCAAGAGTTAACTGTGAGGAGAGAAACTTGTGAGAGACAAAGGGGTTTTGTAGAAAAGAGAACCAATCATGGTGGAGATGATTGTATCAAAGAGGCCTCTGTAGAACAAGTGACTTTGTGAGACATATATATAATTATATATATATATATATATATATAATTATATATATATATATATATATTGCTTTAAAAGGGAAGGTATTAATCTAAACTGAGATTCTGAACCCTTTTGTGTTGTGAACCCTTTTGACAGATAAGAGAAGCCCACAAAATGCCTTCTTAGAATCATGTTTTCATATAATTGTAGGAAATGCTAAGTTTCACTTAAAGAAGAAAGTGGAAAAAAATTTAATTTTGTCCCCATCCCGAGTCCTTTGGGATCCATGGACCCCCAGTTAAGAGCCCCTGATTTAAGAAAAAGATGAGTGGGATGGATTCTCTTCTTGAAGAGAATTTATTTATTTAAAATTCCACTTACCTATTGGTACCCCTCCTAGATATCAGTACAAACATAAGAAATGAAATCCTCAAAACTCTTCACATGTTCCTTCAGGCTTAGAGATTTTATGAAAATCACAATTGGTTTTCTTAGCATTTATGTTAGCCACTAACTTTCATTAGTTTTATGTAATCTTAGAGTGCTATATAAATGGGTGTTGTTGTTAATATAATAATCATGTAATCACAGATCCATCAGAGCGTTGGAGCAGCATAAGAATGATCATAAGTCTAAGCCAGGAGCACTGCTTTAGCATTGGCTTTCCGAGTCATCTGAAAATTGAAGTTTTTAGAGTTGGGGTAGACATTAGAAACTCTCTATCTAATCCATCCCATACCTGAACAGAGAGGATTCACCCTTGAGTTCCATGACTCCCAAGGTCAGGACCCTTTCCACCATCCTTTGCATCCTGCTTGAAATTTCTACTGAAATCCAGAAAGAGGTAGGTAAGTGCAGTGGACAGCTCCGTGAGCTGAGAGCTTTGAATCTGGGCTAGGAGAGCTTCCTAGGAGTGTGAACTTTGAAGCTGTTCAGAACTACCACTTCCTCATTTGTAAAATGGCATCTGAAGTAGCAGCTTTCTGGGGCTATAGTGATCATCAAAGGAGATAAAGGATAAAGCGTTCACAAACAAGAGATCACTCTGTTAGGAATGTCAGCTAGCATTGTTAGAATGATTGTGATTTTGGGGCAAGATCTGTGTTTTCCAGTTTGGAAG